ACTTAAATGAAAGAGAATTGTGTGAATTTTGAACTAATGTATTTTATTATTCTAACTTTAAGTATATATCTATATTCTTTTGTATAGGTAACAACTTGTATTTTTTATTTAATAAAATATGAAGTTCAAATACATTCTTGCAAATTAAAACTAATTCTATAAATTAATCTATTAAAAAATTACCATTATGTTAGTAAGTACGATTACTTATATTTTACCTATAAATAATGAAATCATCTAAAATAAAAATGATTTCTGAAAAGCATATGCTTAGCTTAAAGACATTTTATTTATTTTACTAATCTAAATAACAATAATGATCAATAAGCTTTAAATATACTATAGCTTAATTTATCATTATTAAGTAATAGTCAAATAAATTGTATCTTCTAAAGTACTGTTTCGAAAAAAGGTTAAAAAAATTTAAGTTAAATGAATGAGATTAAAAATAGGTATATCTTCAAGGTCTTAAATGCAAATCCTATCCCAAATAGTTGCTGATATAACCTTCATAACTGCTAATACTACTGACTCTATAATTAATGATAATAATTCCTGAGAAAAATAGATATTTTTTATCATTGTATTTTTAAATTTATTTGATTAAGTTTTTGAATTTTATTTTTATAGTTATTTTAAATTATTAGTTTTTTTTATTAATTTAACAAAAATTAAATAATGAAACTTATTTAAAAATTTTTATAAATGTTTTTTTGTTTTTGAATTTGTATTAAAAAAAAATCAAGTTTTATTTTGTATTTTTTTTCTTTTATTTTTTGCTTTTTTGGTATGCAATAAAAAATTAATTTAATTATTATAAAAAAATTTTTTTTTCCTTACTACAATATCTAAAAAATAAAAATATTTTCATAATTTTCCTACAAAATTTCTTCTACTACCATCTTAAAAAAATAAAAATTAAATTAAAAGCGTTTACTATACGTTGATACCATATGAAGTTAATCTTACTGCGTCACAAAAGATTGACAAATGATCAACGTTATTAACATCATTAGCATTTTTAACTTAGTTAACATTTTTATTTTATTTATTTTATTCTTATATTTTATTATTATTATTTATTATATTAGTATTATCATTAAATTATAATTTATCTTTTATATTTATCTTAGCATTATAAAATAGTTCAGTGTTAGATAGTAAATTCTTATAATTGTATTTTTATATAAATAGGATGAAAACTTGTCCTTGTAAAAGGGCAGAGATCAAATGATCAATTCTTTCCTAGATAGTAAAATTTTGATTGGTACAAAGGTCATTAGGATTATCAGGATTATTAATAGGTAATGTTGCATTTCGTCTATAAACTAAATAAAAGGGTTTAATTTTTGTGGCTGATTGTTTGCTTGTGCGATAAGCAAATAAAACTGGAGCAATATATTGGTCCCATTGAGTAAATCTTTCAGCCAATTTTGCTAATGATTCACATAAAGTTCTATTGAATCTTTTTACTAATCCATTTATCCTAAGGTGATAAGAAGTAAATAGATTATAACGAATGTGGAATTGTTCCATCAACTCTATAACTAATTGATTATTAAAATGAGATTCCCTATCTAATAAGATCTTAGTTGAACATTTATGTCGACAAATAATATCCTCATATAAGAACTTGATGACACTTTTAGCAGTGTTATCCTTAACTGCTTTAGCTTCTAGCCATTTTGTTAAATAATCTATAGCGACAATAATATATTTATTTCCTCTACTAGTTCGTGGTAAAAGTTCAACAAAATCTATTCCAATTCTATAAAATGGTGAATTAACTGGAATAGGATGTAATTTATTCTTTGTTTTAGGTCTTCCTCGTCGTTGGCAAGTATCGCATAATTGAACATATTTTCTGATACTTTCATACATTTAAGGCTAATAATATCTAGTACGAACCTTGTTAAACATGATATCAGTAGAAAAATGTTCAGCTGTTGGATCATTATGTATCATATAAAGTATTGCATCTAGTTCAGTTTCTTTTATGACCCTTAGAAACTGTTCAGTGGCATTTCTTTGTCTTTGCTTTTTATATAAGAAATTAAGTCAAACTATATAAATTTTGATTGCCTTTTTAATTTTGCAATTTCGTTTAAGTTAAAAGATGTAGGTAATTGATTTAAGGTTATATATACAAATAAATTATTATATTGATTGAGTTTTATGATGTTTGAACTGTCTATCACAATATAGACACTTTTGCTTTCACTCTAAATACTTATTACTAATATTTCTTAAATAAATATGAGTATAAATTAAAATATTCAAATGTGGGAAACAAGAAGACGCTAAGGGTTTTTAAGCATATAGGACCTTTGCAATAGAAAGGGAGGAAACTGCCAGAAAAAATCAATTTTACTTTTATATGCCAAATATGATTTTTAAGCCAAAATATGTTCAGATTTAGCATTAACTCATTTTTTATTTTTTTCAGCCGTTTCCCCCTTTTTTATTGCAAAGGTCCCATATAATAAAGCTGAGAGTAAAGATTTTCTTGTTGAACTAAGATTGGTTCATCCCACCAAAGGTCATTAATTAAGTAATTAGGGTCCATATCTGGTTGAATTTGTCTTGGGCCAAATCCAATAATACAATGGTGTTCAATTATTCCATATGGCAAATTTCTCTTACATGCTCTGCAATATGTGTGGATATGATGGTTTTCAATGTCACAACTATAGTTACATTATAATCCTCCTTTAGTTATTGGTTGATTAGCTATAACTTGCTTAATCTTGATATTTTCTTTAAAAATATCTTCCAATTCATTCTTAGGATATTGATATCCTACAGTGATTAAAGGTGTATGAGAGTATTGTGACATTAATTCTTCCTCCAAATCTATTTCTTCTTGTGATCGTTCTGATGAAATTTCACTATTTTCAGAAGAAATATGCTATTCTATTTCTTTATTGTCATTTTTATTTGTTGTGAGCATAAAAACTTCTTTTGAGAAATTATCTTTTTCTTTTTCAGAAATTAATTGAGATAATGTATCAGCGTTAGCATTATTTTTTCCAGGTCTGTGTTGAATATTAAAGTCATATTGTTGTAGTTCCATTATCTATCGTGCACATTATCCTTTTAGTATTTTTAAGGTTCTTAACCATTTAAGGGTAGAGTGATCAGTTACGACGGTGAAAGATTTAGAGCTAAGATAATGATAAAAGTTTCTTATAGCCCAAACTACTGCTAAACATTCTTGATCAGTAATTGGGTAGTTTTATTCAGCTTTATTCATGCTTTTGCTCGCATATGCAATAATATGTTCATTTTTATTTTCATTAAGTTGAGATAATACTGCTTTAAGTCCTACTCCTGAGGCATCGGTATAAGTATGAATTCCTTAGAAAAGTCAGGGTATTAAAGGATTGGTGATGTAATTAATTTTTTCTTTAATATATCAAAGGATTTTTGTTGGTCGTTTGTTTAAATATAAGGGGCATCCTTCTTTAGTAAGGTTGTTATTGGTTTAGCAATTTGAGAGAAGCCTTTCACGAACTTTTGATAATATGAGAACAATCCAAAGGCTGCTCTTAATTCAGTTAATCCTGTAGGCGCTGGAAGTTCTTTGATTTTTCTAATTTTTTCAGGATCTGGTTGTAAACCACTTCTTCCTACTATGTATCCAAGGAATGGAATATTTGGGAGACAAAATTGACATTTTTTCAATTTAATCATTAAATTTGCCTTTCTGATTGCTTCAAATACCATTTGCAAATATTGTAGATGTTCTTCATATGTTTTTGAATAGATGATGATATCATCTAAATATACTGCTACAAACTTATAAAGGTATTCTTGTAAGACAAATTCATTAGACGTTGAAAAGTTTCAGGAGCATTCTTTTGAATTCGTACAGACCATATAGACAGATAAAAGCAGTTTTCTCATGATCACTCTCTTCCATTTCTACTTGCCAATATTCACTAACAAGATCGAGTATAGAAAACCAACTTGCATTTCTAAATTTTTCAAGCAAGTCGTCAATGAGTGGAAGAGGATAAGCATCTCCTTTAGTTATTGTATTAAGTTTTCTATAATCAATACAAATGTGTGCATCTCCAGTTTTCTTGGATACAATAACGACTGGAGAAGCTCAAAGGCTTTTTAACTTTTGGATAATATTATTTTCTTTCATTCGTTTAATTTTTTCTTAGAGAAATTTCAATTTGGATGGATCCTTCAGACGGTATGCGGGACCAGCAATTGGTTCATAATTTCCAGTAGGAATTTGGTGTTAAATCAAAGTTGTATGACTAATTTTTATTTGGCTAAAAGTATAGATATCTTTATTTTCTTCAACAAATTGCTCAAAAATTTCTTGTTAATTAACATCCAAAGGTCTAACATGTAAGTCTTCTTGGATATTCCATTTGTTATTTTGAGATTTTGATTGTTTAGCTTAAACTAAGAATACTGCTAGATTATCATCCCAAGGGTTAGCAAATAGCTTCTTTTCATCAAAGTCAAATAAATTTTCTTTGTCAGAGAAGTCTTCTTCACTATTAAAATAAAGATATCCTGTTTATCAAGATCTTCTTCTTCATATTGGTCATTATAAGTTAAATTGTCAATTACATCAATTAGTTTATCCATAGATGTATCAGATTCTTTATCTAATTCAACAGAAGAACTATCATAAAAAGTAATTAGAACAGAGGCAGATTTTGTAATATATCTGAACTTTACTTTTCTTTCATCAAAGTCAAGAATGGCTTTAGTTCTTTTAAACCCATCAGTTCCTAGTAGTAAGTTTTCGTTAGGGACTCAATGACTTATAAAGTTATTGGAATACGAATAGATCCAATAGTCATTTTGACAGTATTGATCTTTCCTAAAGCTCTAGCTCTTTTTCTGTTAGCAGTATTGATGATTATTTTTGATGGTTCATCAATCTTTAATTTAAGTCGTTTGACTAAACTACTTGTAATAATACTGATAGCTGCATCAGAATCAAGGATAGCTTGCACATTGCTATGATAAATTTAAATAGTACATCTGACCGCAGTTCTAAGAGTATTATTATTGTCACTCATATATTCGTCATCAAGGTCAATATTATTGGTTTCTTTAATGATAGCTCTTTTTAAAACATTAGCTAAGTTTCTTCTTTGATCTGGATATTTTAACCATT